CATTGTCGAGGCTTTTGCCAAAGCCCACGTCAAAGCTGTCATTCTCGTCGGGCGTTCGGAATATCGTCTCACGAGCACAAAGGAAAGGTTCGATAAGATGTACCCAGAGGTGGAGTTTGTCGTTATCGCCATCGATGTTGGTATACCGGAGAGCGTCCAAGACATGTTCAACAAGTTGAAGGTCAAGTTTAGTCACATTGGTGAGTAGTTATTCTGCCTCGTGACACGATCCTGACCCTCTTCTACTAGATGTCTTAATCCATAACGCCGGGGTACTCAATGATTACGGTAACAGAGTCGGAGAAACTGACGTCGACAAGTTTTGGTACGATACGGTAGGTATTTCTCGGAACTCTCGGGACTCTTTTTAACCCGTGGCAGTCTACCAACTTCCGAGGCGCGTACTTGCTCTCTCGGGGACTCATTCGATTCAATCCAACCGACTATCCAGCGACGGTCATCACCTCTAGTACTTTGATCAACGAAGAACTCACCGGTATGACGGCCTATCTGGTTAGCAAACTCTCAGCGGCCAAATTAGTCCAGATTTTGAACGCTGGTATGTTTGGATATACGAGGCCCGATGGATCAGACTGATTCATATCGACAGAATACTCGAATCTCCGCACGTTTGCTGTTCTTCCAGGAGTCGTCGAAACGGAAATGCTACTGGATTCCTTCCGACCGATAGCTTTCGACAAACGTAAGCGCATTTGACTTCTCTCTCATTGATAGAAATACTCACTGAACGTCCATTTTGGTCGGTTGTAGCCACCTTGAGTGCGGCCTTGTCTGTGTTGAGTGGTTGCGAGAGATTCAATCCGGCTACTGATTATTGTGAAGGGAAAGTGGGGCCGAATGGAAAAAGATGATATGTACCAGTAGGAGCATGAGAATTGGCTGAGAACCTCGTCTATTTGAATGGCTGATTGGAGTTCCAGAGACTAATTGACCGCAAGAACCAATCCGACAATGAGCCAGCAGCGTGACAATTAAGTTTTATGTAGTAGGGGCTATTCGTTGGTGAATGGAGAATTCGGGACTACGGCTCGTAGCCATCACAAGGATCATGAGCGCTATCGCGATCGAAGATATGGACAGGTCCAAGTTTTCAACCAATCAAACAGCTTGATGACAACAGCTTCTGAAATTCAAAAACTTTATAATCCAAATTATTTTATTTTCCAGCAGTATATACACACAAAATATTGTCAAGAAAAATATTGAATAATGTAGATTCTCTGCCTCTTTCTCTCGATTATCTTGTTTGGTGCTTGTGGCAAAATAATCTTCTCAAATGGGGACATCCTTATCCTACCTGTCAGGTTCTCGCTTAGAGCACAAACAAGCTGTAGAATATTTCCATCGTGTATTCATCTATGTTATATCTTACTATCCTATACCTTCAGTCTCGACCTTCGAGCTGAGTCGTGTCACGTGTGGTGTATTAGGACAGACCTTCTAAACACTATTCCTCAAATACTCTTGTGAGACACCTAATTGGCACCTTAGAGGTGAGCACTACAAGTGCGGGTTCACAATAAGTCCTAACTTACATCACGTGATGCAAATTTTCGCAGAGTTCCAAGCAACATTTTATTTCCCAACTTCTCACTTGGAACATTTTAACATATTGATAATTTCGTACTATCTATATCAAGAGCGTTGAAGTCGAAAGGTGGCAGGTGAATGCAAATCTC